TCGGGTTCCACTCGAGGGCTTGACGCACGATGTCACCCAGTGGCCTCCTCAGCGAGTGTTCAATCGATCTCTACTTTCTCCTGCATATTTGTTGGGCGATTGGTTCTTGTTTTGTTTGTTCCCATAGTTTCTTGTTGGTGATTCTTTCCGCGGCCATCTAATCTCCAGTATAGAACGAAGACAGTTGTTGATAAAGGTATGCAACAGGCTGTTGGAAATATTCTTTGTGACCCGCCAAGTTTCTGATCCGTATAGAAGAACTGACTGACTTGACGTTTGCATTGAAAATCCGAATTTTGTTGTTGATGCAGGCTGAGTGACGAAGATTTCCAGATTGGTTTCAGGTTGATGAATGTGTTTCTCGCCTTCCCAATTCTCGATTTGACATCCTCGTCCGTTCCTCCTGTGGTTGAGACAATGCTCCCCAGATAAGTGAAAGAAGTAACCTCTTTCAAATCCTTCCCGTTGATGGTGATTGGCGCTGGATGTTGCTGTTGTTGGTTGGTTATTTTCATAACCTCCGTCTTGTCTATGTTCACCTGGAGTCCTGTCTTTGCTGCTTCTTCCACCAGTTTGTCGGTTTTCGCTTGTGAGTCTTCGATTTTGTGTGACATCAAACATAAATCATCCACGCGCGAAATCCAGGTCTTCTAGGTTCTTCACGTCGGTCCAGGATATCCCTGTCTTCTCGTTTCCCACTGTCTGACGCATAATCCAGTCCACCACAATTAAGAATATCAGTGGTGATAATAAGCACCCTTGTCTGACTCCTGTGTTTACTTTAAACGCCTCACTGAGTTTTCCATTGTGGATCACTTGACATGTGCCGTTGTCGTACAGCTGTTGAATAAGGTTGATGAATATTTGGGGCACGCCGTAGTACTTGAGTAGTTTCCAAATTACTTCGCGGTCAACGCTGTCGAAGGCCTTCTCAAAGTCTATAAAGTTGATGTAGAGGTTTGATTGCCATTCCATGCTTTGTTCGATGATGATGCGTAGAGTTGAAATTTGGTCAGAACATGATTCGCCTTCCCTGAATCCAGCTTGTTCTGGTCGGAGTTCTGCATCTAGTGCGTCCTTTATCCTCTCCAGAATGATGCGACTCAGAATTTTACTTGGCGTCGACAGGAGCATGATTCCTCGCCAGTTCTTGCAGAGTTCTAAGTTGCCTTTCTTTGGTAGTTTCACGAGGTAACCTTTCCTCCAGTCAGTAAGCACCTTTCCCTCCTTCCAGACCTTTTGCAATAATCGAGTCAGCATATCTGCCGTCGTTTCTGGGTCCGCTTTCAGTGCTTCCGGGGGTATTCCATCTGGTCCAGCTGCTTTTCCAGCTTTCAGAAGCTTGATTGCATTCATGACTTCAGTTTTCGTTGGAGGACTGGTGTCAACTTGCAGTTGTGTACGTGCTGTTGTTGGTATTACTGGACGGGTTGTAGGTGGTGGTCGATTCAAGAGTCCTTTGAAGTGGTCCGCCCATTGTTTAATCTGTCTTTCTTCTTTGGTAATTGCGTTCCCTTGGCTGTCTTTTATAGGTTTCACTTGTGTTGATCTCTTCCCGGATAGAGACTTGGTTATCTGATATAGTGTCCTCAGGTCCCTTTTACCTGCTGCATTCTCAGCTTCAGTAGCCAGGTTGTCGTAGAATTGTCTTTTGTCTTTCCTGGCACTCTTCTTCACTTCTTTGTCCAGTGCTGTGTAAGTTGAGCTCAGCGTCTCTTTCTCTCGTCCGTCTTTGCATTGAATCATTTTTTCTTTCACCTTTCTCCTCTCCTCTATTAGCTTCCAAGTGTCCGTTGAGAGCCATTCCTTGTCTTGTTTCTTTTTTCTTCCTAAAACCGTTGAGCACGTTTCGTTGAAAATTTCCTTCAGAGAGTTCCAATGGTCTTCCACGGATGATTCCTCAGTGGTGCCACGTACTGTTTCCTGCTTTGCTCTGACAGTTGCAGTGAAAATGTCCTGTGTGATTGTGTCCTTTAGTTTGTGAGTGTTGAACTTGCATTGTGGCCTATCCCCAGGTATCCTCGAGGCTTTCAGCTTCACCTTGAAAGTCCCTTGTACTAGATAGTGGTCTGAACCCACATCTGCTCCTCTCCTCGATCTTGTGTCCAGTAGGCTCCGTCTCCACTTCCTTGAGATTGAAATGAAGTCTATCTGGTTTTTGGTGTGTCCATCTGGTGAAATCCATGTTGCCTTGTGTATATCCCTGTGTTTGAACACACTGCCACCAATCACCAAATCATTGAAGGCGCAGAAGTCTGAGAAGAGTTCACCATTGTCGTTCATTTCACCGAGGGCCTCACGACCCATGGTGAGTTCTCTTCCTGTATTGTCTCCTCCCAGTTTCGCATTCATATCACCCATCAGAATTTTGATATCGTTCTTTGGGACGTTGTCCATTACTGTTTGTAGTTGACTGTAGAAATCCTCCTTCTTCTCATGTTCTGAGGCGTTTGTAGGCGCGTAGCACTGAATGATTGTAACCTTTTTTCCTTTTGAGTTGAACCTGGCTGTCATTATCCTGGAGGAGATTGGTTCCCACTGCATGAGAGCTTTGGCCGCTGTTGGTGACATCATGATGGCTACTCCCTCGGTGTGCTCGTGATCGTCCTCTGGGTGACCGGAGTAGATTATTGTCTCCCCAGTTGGTAGTTGGCACCTTCCAGATCCGTTCCATCTGCTCTCGCAGATTCCCAACACTTCTATTTTATATCTCCTCATTTCTGCGGCTACCTGAGCAGCCTTTCCAGTTTCGTACATTGTACGAATATTCCACGTCCCCATCCTTATTTTTGCTTTCATCGAAAGAAGGCACATGGGCTGACTGGCTTCCCGAAGGCTTTCACCAGCCTGCGTCATTTCACCTCCCCGATTCCAGCGAGAAATAAGGTTATTGTTTGTATATTTAGAATTTTTAATATATTTGGACGTTGAAGTTTTCGTAGCAATTTGATTAAGTTTTGGGGGTGGGGTTGCTAGCACCACGCCCCAACCCTCCCTCTTTATCCGGGCTTGGGACCGGCTAGAATACTAGTAACCTAAGAAAGGGTTTTTACTAAATGAACGATTAACAAACATTGAAAGATTTTAAACAGGACACCATTCATTCACAGGCTGCATAAAGTCCCAGTTCCTAATAGGAGTCGTAGATGAGAAATCCAGTCCTACCTTGTACGTATGTCCATCTAGGGGACTGTCGAAAACCTTAATGGCACTTATTCACCAGGAAGCCTTCAATAAACTTAGCGATAATTTCTATGTTATAATTTACGAAATCCATGGAGTGGTTAATTTTGTGGTGAACACAACCAAGGGGCAGTAAACTAGTCTGGTCATGTTCTTATTATGAACAAGTAACCTGATTGCACAATGATACTAAGAATAGGTAGGTAGGTAGGATAGGGACACCAATGCTGGACATAGGCGCGCTGATCTTGAGTACTCCTTTGCCATGCCAACAACATTACACTACCGCAATCCTAGAGTTCTCTACACAAGCTGGAACACACAACAACGTGGAATGGAAAGTATATTTATCCGTAGATGAAAGTAAGAAGTGAGTCTACAAGCTAAAACAACGATGTATATATGCATGACCAATGGCGTTGCGAGAGTGAAGATAGCCAATAAGAATATTTTCTGGCCATGGAAATTGTCGTGAGCGAAAGTATCCAGACTGTCTTGACCCACTCTTTCAACAGACATGTGACATGCCTAACTACATGTCAGTTCTATAAAGCAATCGATACTAATAATCATGGATACACAAATAGTAAAGCCTTTGATGAAAACGAAGCACATATCAAAGTAATCAGGAGCGACAAAAGTGTCATTCATGGGGAGTTCCAACAAGCTCGCTTAACATTTTGTCTAGGAGGACACTGCAAGTTTCACAATTAAAGCAACCTGCTCACACAGCACAGCTACATCAAAAACAACCAGCTGAGCTACGAATTCCTCCATTATTTTAAAGGTGAAAAACAGGATATGCCCAGTACCCTCACCAATATGTAGAGTTGTTCAAGGTTTCACTTATCTTCTTTTAGAAGGTATTTATTTAGTCGCTTTGCGATCTGCAGCTATTTAACACCTCTTTAAGCATATATATGATATACACTTAGGAACCAAACACTTTCCGCTCCTTCATTTCCTCGATCATATTTCCTTTTTTATCAGGTCAGTTTTATCAGCATACAAGACCAAACTGACTACTTCCAGAAATAATCCAACATTATTCATTTGTCGTGAAGCAGTACATTCTCAGTGTTTGTAACACTGAACTGTTGAGACAAGAGAATTTACATTTTCTACGGCTACATTAAGGTGCATCTGTAACTTCGAAGGAAACTATATCCCCTTGCAAATTCAGAAATGTGTCAGCCAGTGCTGTCAGCAGTAAGGTTAGCAATAACCTATTCAAGTTCATAACAGACCGGTAGGTCTGTATTGATCAAGAACTTACTGCTGGTTGACTCCATCCACATAGCATCAATTCGAAGTGTACTGCAAAATGCGAGTCACCTAGCCTGGCGACTAAACTGGAAACTTAAAAGATAGAATAAAGTTAGCGATAACACAGTAAATTAGGTACAATAATGATTATATCCTAGTGACTAATCCCTGTATTATTTGATTGTTGATTTCCTTTCTCTGAGTTCCGAGTGGAACAAAGAGCTTCAAGTTTTGAAATATGAAGTTGCAGTAGTGATGGTGTTGATTTTTAAGTTTTGAGGATGATAACTGTTTTTGGTTTCCTTCACGTTCCCCAGTGGAACATAGGGTTTCAAGCTAATGGCTTGAAGTTTCTGTAGCAGTGTTTGTTTTACAGGATGAGGTTGCTAGCCTCATGCCCAACCTTTCCTCTTTCCCAACATTATTTCTGGCTCAGCGAGGTAAAGGAGTGCGTCGGCCGGGGATCGAACCCCGGACCATGTGCATGGTCGGCGAGCGTCCTAACCGCTATAACACCGACGCAGTGATAACTGTTATAATTACTTGTAATAGTAGTATTTTTCAATGACCAAATTACAGGAAATCAACCAGCAACACAGAAAGGGATGAATTCAAGAATTTGTATTTGGTGGAATAAATTGTAATTCATATAATAAATATTAACAAGCAAAAGTAAGCATTTGAACAATACAATGCTAGAAATTGTCAATCACCACAATAACCCAACCAGGCCCAGCCTTCTGTCTTTACAGGGCATACTACCGGCTAAGCGATGTTTAGAAGTGAGCCAACCAGGGTTCGAACCCGAGACCACACGCACTGTCGGTGTGTATTCTACCACTGAACCACCGATGCGCACACAATCCATGTGTGTTTGACTTACTTACCCTCTTGAAATTCGTATACATTTTCATCGTATTACGTAGAGTAAATGTAACCAGATAAATTAGATTTCCTTCGTACGAAGAAAGACGACAAAAATGGAAATCTTCTCTACTCATTGTAGAAAATTGTCACTACTTCTACACTAGAGGTAAATTATTTTATTTTAATATCTGTTTGGCAGGTGAAGGATATCGATGGGTATGCGAGATACGCTACATGCAAATTCAGGTGTAAATGTTCTAATATATTTCGGGAGCAGAGATGTAATTTGGTGATGACTGCTAACCTGAATACAGTTCGCCCACGAAAACAACCGAACTTGACATGCCAATGTACCAAATGGTACAGATTTAGATATGATGGAGAAGATATGTAGCTGTCAAGTGGGAGGTATGGGTGTAGTTGTATTCTCTGACCTGGATCGTCTGGTTGTGAAGTTTTCATCGTCTTTCTAGAAAACATATTCGTGTTTGTATGCAACTCTTTATTCAAAAGAGCTTGGACTTACTGTGGCATTCTTGCCTTGAACAAAAATGGAAGAGAACTGTTGTATGACTGTCTTCCAGAAAAATGAACATTCATGAAATTTCATGAAAAGATTTTTTATCCTTAACCTAGCCAACCAACTCAAAAGTATCCGACGAAAGCACAAAGAAAATAGTCCGACTATATATGAAAGAGATCTCTGAAATCATTGGAAGACTGTTCAAACCTTTTAGGATACATGTAGCGTATAAACCGACAAGAAATTACAATCACTAATGTTTCAATCAAAGACGAATCAGCGAAAGAAAACAAGAACATCAGCATCTACAAGGTAAATTACAGAAACTGTGAGAAATATCAAACTGGTCAAAGCAGGAGTTGTGTTCGTCAGAAGACATGATACCCATCTCATCATATCAGTGCATGTAGACAACTATGGATCTCAGTTCAGTTCGGGAATTCAAACGCATCAACAATTAACATTCACATTGAAGTAGGTAAGACTTATCAATCAATAGAAGGGAAGATATATGGACAATAGGTCAACAGAATAATCAATTCCGATATGGTTGGGCTAGAGAGTGAGAAAGTGTTCAGAAAAAATAAACTACTGTCAGGGTTACTAATAATGACATCTAATGAAACTGTGAGGAGTTCTGGAAGCTAACTTCATCTTAAAGTTAAAATTGAAGATGTTCGGTAGAACGACAACGAAAGCTTCACAGCTGAACCGTCCAATTCAGAGACAACAGTCACACAAATTAAAAGGTCTGTATTTCAAAAAATACTACAAAATATTTGCATTGGTTTTACGCATATTTCACTAGTTTTTTTTCTTAACTATGAAACTCAAAGAAGCAATAGTCAAAAATGTGGTAGTATTCTTGAAAATTAACAATGTGTGCTTGTTACCTTCCCAAAATCAATAAATGCTTTAAGTTCTACAATATTCTTATACTGTAAAATGTTAAAATGAGTTCAGAAGTTAGAATGCGAATAATAATTATTTTCCTTCAGGTCTCAAGTGAAGCAAAGGACTTTAGCAACTCATCTCTATTTCTCTCAATTCTCTGCAGCGTATTTTACCTGGTGCCACGACTACCCATAAGCTTCCACGTCCTTCTCCCACGACCACCTCCAAGTTACCGTCGGACTCCAGCCCCAACTCATTTTTTCCCACTCACTTTCCACATGGAGACTAAAATTTCAGTGTCACTCAACTGTCTCCTAATTGTATGCCTAATTCATCTGCACTCCTTTCTGCATATTTGTTTGCCGGTAGGTTCTTAGTTGGCTGGTTCCCAGAATTTCGTATTGCTTAGCCTTTTATGACTGGCTATTTGATCTTCAGTACCGAGTGAAGGTGTTAATGAAAACAAAACACATAGTTCAGCGAAGAGTCTCTCCTCAGCGGTGAATTGATTTTCATAGCTGTTCAATCACAAGTATATATGGGTTATTTTGTATGGATGTGTACATTAAGTTTTGTCAAACAAAAATGCAATTAGCTTGAAAATCCCCATTGAGTCATATGAAAAAGAGAAGACGTTCAGCGAAGAGACTCTTTTCGGCGAATTCATTCACATAGCTGTACAATCGCATTTATATATAATTATTTGTGTGTGTGTGTGTGTACATGAGGTTTGTCAAGTTTAGATAATTGATTAGTTAATACAAGAATGATGTAATATAGAAACAAAGTTAATCAGACAGCAACTAAAGTAAGATTAAGTTAGTAAGCTAGATGACGTAATATAATTGACTAAAATGTTACAACTTAGGTCAGGATAACAACAGAGGTAATTACAGGTAGAGATTAAGTAGAAATGAAATCGAGTGAATAAGTTGGATGACGTAACATGAATGACTAGAAACTGAGCGTTGTTCAAGTCAGTAATAGTGGTAGTGAGGTGTAGAAATTGAATCGGGTGGGGGTAGAGTACAGGAAGGCTGAAAATGTAAAATATTACAATTGGGAAGACAAAATAATACTAATGAAGAGACAGAAGAAAAGATTAGGTAGAATTTACTTACGTCCATTGCAAGTGTAGTGATTGAACGAACGTCTTCTGTATGCAGAGTTCAGGACTTAGCAATTGGTTATTTTAGCTAGACAGGTGAAAATTAGTAAGTTTTGGGTGAACTTACGTAATACAAAAACGGTCAAGACAATTGGGTGTTTCAATGAAACTAAAGTAGTAACAAAGGCGATGAGTAGTCACAAACAGTCTTACTTTTCCAATCCCTGCCGGCTTTGATATAATCATCTGTGCGACGTGTAGTTGAAACGATGGTGCCCAAATCAGGTAAGTGAAAGAGATGACTTTCTTCCAACTCCTCTTGTTGATGGTGATTGATGCTTGCTGTTAATCTGCTGATTAGGTGTCTCTTTCGCCTTTGTCTTCTCTATGTTCAAAATCTTATTAATGTGGAGTATGACCTCTCATTTAATAGAATTATTGATTTATATATATATTTTCGGGGAAAAGAAAATTAACGCAAAAACAAGCAAACATGGGATCGTAGTGTTAGAAATTACCAATCCTTTTAATTCCCACAACTAACAGGTCGAATCATTTTGAGCATATTTGTAAATTCGACTCATTTTACTACTGTTTATATGACACATTTCTAAATAGAAGTTCATTAATCTGTATTCTTCAGCTTTAGAAGTTTCGTTAACCTTTTAGACTATAGAAATCTCAATTTTCCAATTGTATTTGGCTTTCTGTAGGAAATATGCTCATTTTTGATTGAACAGTAGTCAGTAACCAGTGTAGTATGTGTCTAGTCCAACAGTCAAGTTTGCAATGTGGCCACCATGCCACTAGGTGCCTCACAATCATGGAGCCCTGCGAATTGTTGGTATTAGATGGTTGAAGGCAATCGACAGGAAGCCTTGGACCTATGTTTCGTGATAGTTGGCCTGAATAGCTCAGTGGTAACGTCTCTGACTGCAGGCGGCACTGGGTAACGCGAGTTCGAATCTCAAAAGGGACATGAGTTCCTTCAAGGCAGTCGCAGATACGCCTTGCTGACTGGTGAGTACCATCTAGCACGAAACCTTGGTCGAAGGCTTCCTACCGATTGCCCTTGACCATCTAATACGTGCATTACAGCTTAGTGATGTTACACTACTTGGGCTATGAATAGGTCATATGAATTAGGCTGAAGAAAGCAAACTTAATCTTGAACTATCTACCTTAAGAATAAGTTTTGTTTTTATGGAACACCTATTTTAATTACAGATATACTGAATGTTATGTTCCGGTATTCAGAGTATCTTTAGATAAAGTTATAGAGTTTTGCGACCAGTCCCATGAAAACTGTATTTGGTACTTATGAAACAAGCGGACTGATAATTATGTTTTCGTCATTATGCTTTCTGTCAGTTGTAGAAACTTCACTTCAGCGACTCGTGGAAATTTGTAATGTAAATTACTGGTTGAGCGTGACGACAAATACTTGCCGGAGATGATATTCGCTAGTGCCAGTCATGTCATATCGTGAATTGGCAAAAGCTAGAATTCATGAGCTGGCCATTGAGCCAGGTCCAAGTAGCTTGATGATCTACGAGCTAGCTCGCCTTGTAACCAGAAGGTTCTGGGCTGGAACCCTGTCAGTGGATGCTTATTGATGAAGAGGCCCAAACTAGGCTGATGGAACAGCTGTCCTGTACTCGCTTCAGCTTTTCCAATGATTCTCTAACCAATATCGCTCCATTCATGATGAAATCCTGAAGGTATTTTAAGTGATAGAAAAGTGTTTCCTACATTTTATGACTTCTACCTTGTGTCTTAGCTAAAAAGATTGAAGAATACTTAAGGTTAAGTGAAATAAATGCGTTAATTATTCCTTTTACCAAGTAAACTACCAGTGTATCTTGTTAGTGTATACTCCACACACACACATACACACACACACTGTAATGTGCAACATGAAATAGTTTAATAGGTACTGCTTTTCCTAAATATCTTGTTTTAGAAAGTAGATTTTGAAGTATGATGATTTACAATACTTGCAAATAAGTGTTCCATAGATAATTTCTGACCACTTTTCAATTTTAATGGGTGTAATTTCACTTACAGTGGGCGAAATACGTTTAAACATGTTTAAACAGTACGACTTTTCCACTCTACTGGGCTAAACACTACGGGATGTGTTAAAAAATCCTGACATGTTTCATTGGCTATCTACTGATATCAGTGAGTAAATTTTATCACATCTTGTTTGAATAGCCTTGAACATCGACTAAAACCTTCAGAGAATAATGATAATTTGTATGTCATTTGCAAAGCCATTGAAAAGAATCTAATAGGCGATAGACAGTAAAACTGATTAAAACAAAACAGCTGATATGGGTTTTCACAGACTGCGAAATCAGTGTAAGATACACAATTTCCTTGATATTTAACTGCCTTAATCATTGTTTTTCCCTTAAGTTTTATTAGTCAAGGCTATCAAATGGACTTCGGAGGTTCATACTGAAATCGTTAAACATTTCAAGGTCGATCGCGAAGTGATTTTAGTCAGGAAA